CCCCAAAACCCCAAAACCCCAAAACCCCAAAACCCCGTGTCCAGGAAGTTAAATTGAATTTTACGCTTATTGGTTGCTAAAGAGATGCAATTATAGCTGTAGATGCTGTTTTGGTGGAGTATAGTTTGGGAAGTTAGGATAATGGTTTTTAACTAGGAGAGAGAGGAGTGTTTGTTTTGAGGGAGTTTTTGGCACGGAGAATGGAGTTTTGGGTGTCTGTGACGCCGGAAGAGTGATTTTGGATGGATTTGGCAGGTTCTGAGTGGGGAATGACTGGTGTGGGATGGGAAGATAGGTGATTTTACCTTTGATTTCAAGAGATTTCTGTCTGGCTCCCAATGAATTCAACTTAGACTTTCATTGCTGACCTTTGCCAGAAATGTAGTAGCAACCCTTGTTCACTTTAAATGATTTTGGCGATTTCAAACTATAAAGTTTCATAGAAGTCCTTTGTGGAGTTCTTAAGTGAGACTTCTCAAGATTTTTACTCAGAGTAGGGACTCTAAACCCAGTAAGAGGCAGAAGTTTCGGTTTCCCATGATGCATCTTGAGCTGTGATATCTTCAGTCTCCTTCTTTGGTACCTCAAGTTCTTCTGAGTTTCAGAGACTGCTTTGGAATCATCTGTATATCCAACTTCTAAAAAGAATTAGCACAGGTCAATTTAATGTCAGATATTCATGGTGAAAATTCTATACCTTTATAAATCGCTCTTGATGAGGAAGTTGACAAAGAGCTATTAGCATCATAGGGAGATGACTTCTTCTTTGATTTAAACTTAAAATGTCAGCTTCTATCTAGCATTCCTCTGTCCTTCAATATTCTGGTTCTTATTTTACTCCTTACTCTCTTTTTCTTGGTCTCGGTGTTCTATTAAGCGAAATTAGATCATTCCAGATGGAAGATTCCAAGCACTAGCCCTAGCAATACTTTACCTCCAAATGAACCCTTTCAGGGATGTAAATTGGAAATTCATTACATCAAACGGTTTCTGTTTTTGCATCAGTTTCTTGTATATCTCCCGAATAAGTTTGGGAAGCTACGGATTTCTGGAGACTCATCATTCGTTTCCTGTTCATCTTTCCAAGTCTCTTCCGACCAGCTGGGCTCTTTTGTAAAGAAGAGCGACATCCAGGCTGATCTACATATACTTTGGCTGTAGATTTATCTATGATTTTTACTCCAGTAATTCCTATACTGAACAAGACTGGTTCTTGAAGTTTAGAATCTGATAGTTCTGATCAGCTTGAATCTGAACTACCCGTGCTCCTTGTAGACGAGAGTCTTGAGGCATCTCTATTGGGAGAGAACCAATTGCCTGTCTGTGACCTTCCATTCAAGATTTTCTTGCACCATTCAGAGTTGGGCTGATGCATTTTGCTCAAAAGTTCATTTGGGTTGCTCATTTTTGTAGTAAAATAATTTAACAAAGACATAATTACTACTCTAATTAAGGGGTTTTGGGGTTTTGGGGTTTTGGGGTTTTGGGG